AGCATATTATGACATCAACTAGTTTAGACAGAACAATTACTGAGCAATAACTATTTACTGACCAACTAGTACTACTGAGCAATAACTATTTACTAATCAATAACTATTTACTGACCAAAAAACAGAGAACAATTACTTTAGACAGAAGTAATTACTAACCAACTACACTTGAAGCACCATCATTATGAGGACAACAAAGAATAGAGAGCAATTACTGACCTTTGCAAGACTTCTGAAGAGAAACACTTTTTGAAGAGAAATGCCTTCAATGACATCAACCAAGCATGACCAAGAAAAAACAAGTGATTAAAACAAGACCCATAACAGATCAGAACAAGTGATTAAAAATGGACTAACATATCTCAATGGATTAAAACAAGTGATTAAAACAAGTGTTCCTCCATATATCAGAACAGATCTGATCAAATGTAACAATTGAAATATGAATCAAATGTAACAATTGAGATAAGATCAGATCAAATGTAACAATTGAGATATGAACCGAATGCAACAATNGAGATAAAACTTTGTCTAAAACTATTCTTCCTAGCATCAAAGGTTACAAGATAATTTTTCTATCAATTCCAGAACATAAGAATAGCTTGATTGATCCACATGGTTACAAGATAATTTCACTTAACGATCAATCATAGTGACGAACTGAGGTAGAGACTAGAGAGAGAGATGACCTGAGCTGGAGTCGGATTCTCGTAACTAGTAGACTCCAAACCCGAGACCCTTCATTCCAAAGAATGAAATTTCTCTTCCATCTGCAGTAATCAAACGTTATTTGTAAGAAATCAGAGTGATCAGAGATATCAGAGAGAGAGATGAATCACCAGTGAGAGAGATGATTGCAGAGAGATGTGAATCACCGTGAGAGAAGATCTCTTCGCCTTCCATCGCACAGAGAGAAGAGAGAAGATCTCTTCGCCTTCCGTCGCCGTGAGAGTGATCGCGAGATGTGAATCGCCGTCGCAGACGAACAGATACGTGAGAGAGATCGCGAGATCTCTTCGTCTTCCGTCGCCGTGAGAGAGATCGCGATATCTCTTCACCTTCCGTCGCCGTGAGAGAGATCGCGAGATCTCTTCGCTACGCCTTCCATCGCCGTGAGAGAGAAAGAGGTTGAAGAGATCACCCTTGCGGTGACGAAGACAACCGCCGACCAACAGCAACCGTGACGAAGAGAGAATATTTTCCTCGCCAAAATCGCCTCTTTCGCGGCTCTACTAGAGAAAGAAAACAAGAGCGACGAAATGATTTTTTTTCCTTTCTGCGTACCCTAAACGCGACGGTCCACTAGGAGGAGGCCACGTGGCCTTGTTGAACCGATTCAAAAGGATCAGTTTACTGATCCAGCTCAATACAAAATAGCCCAATTTTATTATTTTTTAATCTAAAAAGCCCAATGAACCCCTTATAATATGACCGATAAACATGGTCTTATGTGACTTGGGGGACTTTAGGCACAACAAAACCGATCGGTTAACCAAAAAAATACAAACAGACTTGTTTTATTCTATTGGGCGAAATCAACTTAAGAAATTTGGTCCATTCAGTAAAATTGCAAAATCTAAACCTATAAACCAAATTAACCAATAAAACCAAACTAACCACATATAACCGAAATTATTTGAGTTTTCACGAATTTGAATCATAGATTTGAAAATTTTGGTTCAATTCGGCAAGAAAGTTTAATACCCAAACTATGAACC